ATGTGTCTGAGGCATGCATTGAGCATTGAACTCACTATTGGATCGCCAAAAAACGGACTCCGAATGGCCTAGATCTAGCCAAAAGAGTTTGAATGCCTCCGATTCAAAAACTAACCGTACGGATGTGTCCGGAATACTCCAAATAGTTGGGAAGCACTATTGGATCGTCAAAAACGGACTCCGAATGGCTCCGATCTGGCAAAAACACTTTGGACGGGTCAGATCTGCAGAATCTGGTGCGCTGAGATGCACCGGATAATCTCTCCGGTCAACGGCTCGGTCAACGGCGCAGGCGGCGCGGTCAACGCGGCTGACGGCTGGTCAACTCGGCTTGGTCAGCGGCTCAGGCTGACTGGGCAGGACACGTGGCACCCTTTGCTGACGTGTCGCCACGTGTTACCGACGTGGCACGCTGACGCGGCCTGCGCGTGTCGTACACGCGCCTTCCCCACTCGTCTTCTTTCTTCAGCCGCGCGTGGAGCGCGTGTGTGAGACTGGTACCACGCGCCGGTTGCCTGAACGGCGCGTGAGGGCGCGTGACGCGACTGGGAGTCACGCGCAAACTTCTTGGGGCGCGTGAGAGCGCGTTGAAGCTCCGATTGGCCTGTGGTTTGAAGTTTTGGACTCCTCTCCTCCTGGCCTTCCTCCTGGTATGCTCAAAAGTGGATTTCGACCACTTTGAAATCTGGACACTTTCGGAAAAAACTCGATTTTTCTCCACCCGGGCTCTGATACCAATTGTTGCGGATCTTGGGCACACCAGGGGACACTCACAAGCAAAAACACAAGACTTTTAACGTGGTTCGGCAAACCGGCCTACGTCCACGGGAGCGATGTTGTTATATATCAACAAATGAAGGAGATTACACACTCTCAACTCACTGTCTCTCTATATAACACACTCTCTCAGCTATGATGCCCTTTCTTCAACTCTCCTTAGCTTCTCTATATATAGATTACAAAGGCAAGAGGCACCCTTTGAAATGAGCTGGCTGCCAGCCCATTTCGGTGGCTTTCCAGATTGCTTCATGGCCTCATGGCCTCATGGCCAACTCACATGGCTTCCCCACCATGTAGCTGGCTGCTACTTTCCTTCACATGGCCAGAACCTCTGTAGCCAACTCAACTTGGGTTGATCTCCTACAAAAACAACCATTTTTCACTTCTTTGATGATTATTTTAGAAACTTTGTTAAGTATAATCTCTTGATACTAAAAACTTATATGTGGAAGTTTAATATTTCACGTTCAAGCTCATTCTTTGCATCCTCTACTCCATGTGAGGTGTCTTGTATTTTTTACTATACTTTCAAATTTACTATAAAGGTCTTTTATGGAGGGTGGAGGGTTGAGGCCGTTAGGCTGGTTTCTGTGAGAATGTGACAGTATTGTTGAGTAGCTGAGTTGAAAGATTCTGAGCTCTGTAATCCTTGTTGTGCATAGTAGATTTGATCTCTTCTCCTCTGTAGATGTAGGCATATTGTGTGTGTGTTTATTTCATGTTATTTTTTCTGTTTCGTGATTGGAACCATATGATTTAACATGAAATTTGCATTTATAATGATTTCTCTGACTCTTGATGCTTAGGCCTTGACTTTCTCTCACTATTGCAAATATGCTTGCTCTGAAGAAGTCCCTGAACTCCAAGACATGGGAGGCCCAGCTCAAGGTTTGCAAGCACAAACCAAAATACATAAATAAATAAAGAAAAATCATGACAATTTTTTTGACCATTTGGTTTTCTGAAATATGAACAGGTGGATTCAGTGTTGCTTTTGACCCGCTTGATGGTTCTAGCATCGTTGACACGAATTTCACAGTTGGAACCATCTTTGGGGTGTGGCCCGGAGACAAGTTAACTGGTGTGACAGGAAGAGATCAAGTTGCTGCAGCCATGGGGATTTATGGACCTCGAACTACTTATGTTCTTGCTCTCAAGGACATCCCCGGCACCCATGAATTCCTTCTTCTTGATGAAGGTTTGCTTTGAACAATATTGTCAAATTGTAGGAATTTTTGGTGCTGAGTTTGCAAACTGTCGATGTGAAATTTCGATGTTCCTTTTAAACCAATTTCTGTCTCTATAAAATTTTCCAGGAAAATGGATACATGTCAAAGATACAACAGAAATTGGTGAGGGAAAGATGTTCTCACCTGGAAATTTGAGAGCCACATTCGACAACCCTGACTATGATAAGGTCTATCACTTAATTTCTAAATTTCTACCATCAACGTTTGCTCCTTTTTTTTTCTTTCTTTTCTTCTTCTTCTTCTGTTTCAGACATGTTGCTTTGTTAATGTCATTTTGCTGATAAAACAAGAAACATTTTGAATTTCTAACTTTGCAAATATGAACAACAGCTTATCAACTACTATGTAAGAGAGAAATACACTCTGCGGTACACTGGAGGAATGGTGCCCGATGTTAACCAGGTCATTGCACCTCTTCAATCCTCTTTAACACATTTTAACTGCAATTATAGTTTCTTTAGGTTGTGTTTGGATCTTGGATTTATGGAGCAAAAAATAAAAAGTTTAGCTTCTACTTGATTTCTCTTTTCATTTTCCTTAACTCAATAAATCCCTCCACAAATCCAATATCCATGCGCAGCCTAAAAATTAAAACTTGAGTTGGCTAGTTGCAATGAAAGTTGCACTTAGAGCTTTAAACTAACTGAGTCAAGCCAAATAATAGCTTGCTCAAGTTTAGATTGAAAAATTCAACAAGCTTCAAAATATGTTCAAGCTAGACTTGTTTACCACTCAAGCCGATCTCAAACAAGCTTTAACCGAACCGAACTTCAGTAACTTCAAATGTGTTCAAGTTGACTTCTTTACCATTCAAGTTCATCTTAAACAAGTTTTAATTGAGCCAAATTCGAAAACTTGATTTTATTTATTTATTTATAGTGCATAAAAGTCTATCGAGCTAATTGACTTGAAACTTTAACGATTTGTAAAATGTTTTCAAGTTTGACTTGTTTATATAATGAATGAGCTCGTAATGAGTCAAACACAAGTCGAACTCAAGTAGTTTAATTGCCTTACAGCCCTAACTACTCCTGTGAGATCTAACATTCTCAAAAACAAAATTCATTCTTGTTTTTGTTTTTCATCTGCAGATCATTGTAAAGGAGAAAGGTATTTTCACAAATGTGACATCCCCATCTTCCAAAGCCAAGTTGAGGCTTCTCTTCGAGGTGGCTCCACTGGGATTCCTGATTGAGAAAGCCGGGGGCTACAGCAGCGATGGAAAACAGTCTGTGCTCGACAAGGTGATCGTTAATCTTGATGATAGGACTCAAGTAGCTTACGGATCCAAGAATGAGATTATCCGATTTGAAGAAACTCTATATGGTTCCTCCAGGCTCAAGGCCGGTGGTGTGCCTGTTGGAGCTGCTGTTTAAGCTCAGCTGCTTTGTTTGCTGCATTTTTCTTGAATCACGGAACAAGAATTAAAGCAATTTCCCATATGGGTTTTGTATAATAGAAGAACAATGTGTTCATGTTATGGCTAGACTCAGATTGACAATTCATAATGTTGAAATTGAATTTGTCTTGTATAAGATGGAGAGGTCAAGCAGTTTTTTAGTGTCTGTTATTTGATTGGTGGCATTTTCTTGTTCCTAAAAACATGAGCTTAGTTTTGTTTCTCTGGAGGGCATCCAGTGAGTCAGTGACTAATACAGATTGGATCTTTGTAACCCCAGATCTTATTTGATGGCACCCCCAAGAAGTTTTTTTTTTCCTCACTCTTTTTTTATTTATTTTTTAAAATTTTATTTCTATGTTACATGATTTATCATGACAAACACCTATCAAGCCGGCCTGTTTGGCATCGTTTTTGTTTTTCTAACATTAGGAAACAAGTTTTTAGAATTTCTTAAGAAGCAGGTTGTTTAAAAAAAATAAAAAACTTCAAGCAGGCATATATATGAATCCCTATGAAGCATTGTCCAAAGGGACATAGTTATTCACCCTTTAAAATTGAAAGCAAAGCACCCTGAAATTCATTTTGAAAAACTGTAAATCCCTAAGATGGAAAACCTTGGAGTCATCCCCTTGTAACCCCCGTCCCTTTGTCTTATTAAGAAAATTGTCAAGAAGTCAAAAAAACAACATAGTTCCTTAGGATTCACTCACAAGAATTGTGTCTGCCTTGTTATAACAGAGTTTGAGTGCTTAAGGCAAGGAGTGGATGAATATATCAGTAGGCAGCATATTAAGCCCCAAAACCGCGTTTCCCTTTGAAGAGTTCCTTATTTAGTCAGTCCTACAGCAGGGCAAGCCCAAGCTTCCCAACAATTGTGTTGTTTGTACCACCAAACATAAAGCAAATAAACATGGTATGGATTCTCACCCACTACCTATTCTGCTTGTGATCAGCTCGATTTGAATTTAAAAACATCATGACAACGTGTAGTTAACTTTTTAAAAGTTTTGTTGTGATTGTATGTTGAATTCAATTTGGATAAAAAATTATATTTTGAAATTTTAGGGATTTATGATATTGAGAGTTTTCTGTAAGGTAGAGTTGTGTTGAGCAGCATTGCATTCTCCATATTCATAGTGAAACTCCCTTACCGTTCACACTTGAGTCTATTCTTATCTGGATTTTTATTTCTAGATCTCTCTGTATATTGAGTTATTTTAGGATTCTAAGATTTTATGAAAATTGAGTACTTCAAGAGTTATTTCAGATCTCCTTCCATGCACATAGCCTTATAACCAAATCACATAAATCGTTTGTGTACTTGTGGGTTTGTTCTATTTTATCTTTTCTTGAATTTTCTTTTTCCACACACTTCTCTTATTCCTAGTGCAGGCCTTTGAGCAAGAAAACAAGAAATGGCAGGGATCAATAGGAGGCATTGTGGAAGCACCCATACACAAAGTCTGGGAAATAGTATCACAAACCAACAGATTGCCAGAATGGATGCCAATGGTCGAAAGATGCACCGATTTGGCTGGTGACGACGGCGTTCCAGGCTATGTCAGGCTAGTTTCCGGCTTCATGTTCCCCCAACATGATGGAGACAGGTCATGGATCAAGGAAAGGTTGGTGTCCATGGACCCAAAATCACACAGTTATGTTTACAGAATGGAAGCAAGTAATATGGGCTTAGATGGGTCTGTGAATTCATTGAAGCTTGTAGATTATGGGGATGATTCAACCCTAGTTGACTGGACATTTGAGTTAAACCCTCTTGAAGGTGCTTGTGAGGATAGCATAGTAGACTATCTAGGGTTTCTTTATAAATCTTGTATTAAGAAGATTGAGGGTGCTATAGAAGCTTCAGCTAAACAGAAAATTGGGTAACAAGATGGGCATAGGTTAGCATCAAGTAAGAAGGCACCAAAATTTCTGTTCTCAAAATTCTAGTCCCGTGTTTTAATTCACTTTTAATAGTACGATCATGCCTCGAGATTTATGTTGTGTTTGGTTGGAGGGTTTGGGGAGGGATTTGAAAACGGAAAGGGAAAAGGTGTGTGAAATTATGTGAAATGTAAGTATATTTTTTTTACATTTCACCTACTTTTTCCATTTCCCTTTTCAAATCCCTACTCAAATCCTTCAATCAAACACAACATTATTGATTTGAGATTTTCATCATATTGTATGACCAGAAATGTATAGGGGACAAGGAACGAGAAAAGTTGGCTTCATATAATAACTATCACATAGCTAAGTTTACAGAATTGGAAGCAAGAGTCTCTCCTATGTGTCTTATTTATTTTCATTTATTGGAAGACAATATAGTCAATCACTATGTTTCAAAAGTACAAAAATGTTATTAACACATCATTCTCTATAAATTTTTTATACACAAATTATGCATGTTTAGCATTTTTCATACTGAAATTATAACAGGACCAAGAGTCATGGCATGTATTGCACCTGATTTCGTTAAATATATTTATGTTACATAAGGAAAATGCAACTCTTCTACTTTCAACATGTTGCTAGAAATAGTAATATTACAAATCCATACTTAATTATTTAAAAATTATTCAGAGTTATCATTTTGTGATTTAGATTAATTTTGCACATAAACCCCACAATACACAAATTCAATCTCGACCACATATTTCCATTTGGAATAAATTCACGGTAGTTAAAGTGGGTTCGTAGACTTATTCTACTAAAAATGTAATGTATCTCAAAAAGTATTTTGAAAATAAAATGAACGGATTAGATTTAATCTTAATATATAACCGGGTGGGCGACACTCAAAATGCGTGCGAATATCCCTAGGTGTGAACTTGAGTGGTTCAAAGTGCCCTTCGGGACAATGGGTTTGTGACTCTTTCCACAAAGTGTCCTTCTGTGCATGTTGTTAAGCTTATTCAGGAAGAATCTGGCCAAAATTTTCAGCACAGGGCCCTTCTTGAGGATATCAAGTTCCTGATGCAGAGATGCAATTGCACCATTCAACACATCCTCGGAGAAGGCAACAAAAATGCAGATGGTTTGGCAAACTTAAGGATTAATCACCAAGAATCTTTTGTTTTTCTTAATGACCCTCCTACTTAGGTTGCAAGCCTGCTTGTTGCAGACATATTAGGGTCATCTTCTGTGTATCAAGGCAGTATGCCTTAACCTTTTGTTCTGCTGTTTCTTTCCTTTTGAATCGAAAAAAAAAAAATAAAAAAAATAAAAAAATAAAAAAAATAAAAAATAAATAAAAAATTGTAAAAAGAAGAGTTTACAGCAAATTTTGTTCAAATTTGGTACATTCTTCATAATTGGGACATGCACTACAACAAAATTAGGTCTTTTTTGCACATGTAAATAATATCTTAACAATAACACGTCTGTTTCTTATGTTGTTAATGTTGGAATAATCTTCTGTATAAAATGAATAAATTGAAACAAATCAAACAAATAAAAATAAATTACTTACAGAATTTATTTTACTGAAATGTAAAAGTACAAAAATATCAAGTCGAGTGTGTGACACTCTATCCTTAAGACAGATTTGCCCCGCTAAGGTGCTTACGGATAAAAGGCGTCTATCTCTCAGGATACGATGATCTTCACAAATTGTAGTAACACTCTAAACAATTTGTATGGTGAACCAAACCTGTGTTCTATATTCTTTAAATTTTTCCTAAAAAATAATATAAAGAATAATGCAACCAAAGAGCAAAACCGGGAAGAAAAGAATTTTTCTAGATATTTTTGGATCCCCCAAACTGTTGGAATATGCTGGTATTTATAGGCAAAATGATGACCAACAGATTTGCCGAACAAGTTCAGATTTGAACCGAACATGTATGAAATATGAATAAACAGATACAGTTTGAATTTCAAACAGATTTAGTGGCAGTTTCAACAGATAACTGCATAGCAGTTTCAATCTGTCTGGGCAGTTTTAAAACTGTTAGAAATGGACTAAAAAAGGGACTGTTTAGACTGCAAAAAATTAATTTAATTTTGTTTAGAAATTCAAATGATTTTCCTGAAAGAATTTTGAAAAAATTCAAATAAATTTTGTTCAAAAAATTAAAGTTAGACCCGACACAACCCACACCCAAGCCCAACATGGCACGGCTCGGCCGGCGGTGGTGGCGCGCGCGTTTGTGTGTGGTGGTTTGGACTAAGGTTCACATTGTCTATAACTCCTCCCTTCTACAAACTTGGGGTGCCCTTTAGGGCCAGACCCAAGTGTTGCCACCTAGAACTTATACACACATAAGTTCTCTTAAGTTTCTAATGTGGGACAAGCCTTACAAGGAAACCCACATTTTATTCTTTAATTGTCCATTCTATGAATCCAAAAACGATATCAACTTCCCATTCACTCATAAATGGTTTTGACGAACTGTCTTCACCGTGTGACTTGTCATGTGGCAAGGAACACGTCACTTCTTTGGACTCACCTCAAAAGACGTGTGGACCTTACTCAAATTTGGACTCAAAGTTGGCCCACAATAAGCCTATCAAAACCAAATTTTCTAACAATCCCCCACATGAGTGGAATTTTAACGGAGAGAAAATGCAAAGGATAGGTAGTTTTTGGCTTTGAACCTTCCCTTGTGAGACACTATCGGATTTACTAGCTAACCATTGAACATGATGTCTTGAACTATTCAGCTATTTGTGTAAACTAAGACAATAGAACTCACACAATATATTACTGAACACAGTTTAGTTTTTACTATTGCGTTCATTTTGGCCCTGAACAACCTAGTCTTTCATGAGTGCTCTAGAGAATTGTAGCCCTTCACAAATCTCATAGAACCGGCCCAGTTCACACCCATATAGGTGATTCTTATGAAAAATATCCTGCCATACTCCACTACGTATACCTAGATATAAGAATCATTAAAAATATTACTTGACATAAAATGCTGTAGACATCACTATTTCATCATAGAAATGGGTAAGAGTTTGACTCCCCAGTGATCCTCATAAGTCATACACAACTCGGTTGTCCCTTTGAACCTAGATCTTAGGATCTCCAGTCAACTAGGTTGGGTTGCCGTTGTGGTAACTCTTATTTAATAGGCTTAAGTCCTATTTCTTTCGATGAATTCTCAACTAACTCTTTTGCTAACCCTTTGGTTAGTAAATCTGCTATGTTGTCTTTAGATTTTACATATTCAATGGAAATAATTCCATTAGAGAGTAGTTGTCTTATGGTGTTATGTCGACAATGAATGTGTTGTGACTTACCGTTATACATATGACTCTATGCTCTACCTATTATTGATTGACTATCACAATGTATGCATATAGCAGGCATCGATTTTGGACACATTGGAATATCTTCAAGAAAGTGACGAAGTCATCCTGCTTCTTTCCCAGCTTTATCTAAAGCTATGAATTCTGATTCCATAGTAGACCTAGCAATGCAAGTCTGTTTGGAAGATTTCCAAGATACAGCCGCACCACCAAGAGTAAAGATATACCCACTGGTGGATTTTGAGTCTCTAGTATCCGATATCCAATTTGCATCACAGTATCCTTCAAGTACTGCTGAATATCGAGTATAATTCAACCCAATCTTACGAGTAAATCGGAGATATTTAAGAACCCTTGTAATAGCTTTCCAGTGTTCTACTCCTGGATTACTTGTATATCTACTCAATTTAGTTACTGCATAGGCTATATCTGGGCGAGTGCAGTTCATCAAGTACATTAAGCTTCCAATAATTTGGGCATACTCTAATTGAAAAATACTTTCCTGTACATTCTTAGAAAGAAACAAATTAACATTCACAGGTGTTCTAGCAAGATGATCATCATCTTTGCTGAATTTGTCAAGTATTTTCTCAATATAATGAGTTTGTGACAAAGCATATCCTTCTGATGTTTTGATAATTTTCATACCAAGAATTACGTCAGCAATGGCCATGTTCTTCATGTCAAAATGTTTATTTAACATTTTCTTGGTAGTTTTAATCATGTCATTATTACTATCTATGATGAACATTTCATCCACATAAGACATACTATAACATAACCCTTGCTTGTGTTTTTAATATAAACACATTTGTCATATTCATTAATTTTAAAACTATTTGACATTATTGCCTTGTCAAATTTCTCATGCCATTGTTTTGGCGCTTGTTTTAAACCATATAATGATTTAACCAATTTACACACTTTCTTTTCTTTTCCTGGAACAGAAAATCCTTTTGCTTGTTCCATGTAAATTTCTTCATCTAACTCACCATTTAAGAAAGCAATTTTCATATCTATTTGATGAATTTCTAGATTGTACAAAGATGCAATGGTGTCACGACCCAAACCCGGCCCTATGGGTTTAGCGCCGTAACCGGCCAGTAATCCGAGATTACCGAAGGCCTGCTTAACAGTAATACAGTAAAACAGAGTACAGGGCCTGGCGGAAGCCAATACAGTAATTAAACAATGTCCAATGAGCTGTGACAGTCTGTATGCCAAAAAGATTTTTCATGCATTCATACATACACAAACAGTACAGAACAGTATGTACAATATTTACATCCATTCAAACTAGGGACTCAACCCTAGATAGCGGTACAGTGAACAGTCAGCCTATACAAAACAATACGGTCTATATAGGAGAGAAAATACAACAGTACAGAGACCTTTTGGTAGTATTACTTGCACCAATTAGTATATTAATTAGTGTACCAATACTAGTTATGATATTATTATTGACTACATTCATTAATCACATTACAAATTTTAAAAATCTCTTAAATTATGTCATATCATCAATTAATACACTAATTAGTATATCAATTGAGAAATGAGATTATTAACAAGAAGGGCGAGAATGTAATTTCTATAACGTCAAGGAGTAGGATGTAATCAGACCAAACTACAAGGAGTGTTAGTGTAATTTATCCTTGTAAGTTTTAGTGACAGTTTAAATCATCACAAAAAAAATATCTCTAATTTTTAACTTTCAACAATAGTTTGA